CTATGTATTCTCAGTATCAAGAAGTGATGTCCAGTTACAAGTTTGTTAGCCAATACCATCGGTCGCCACAATCATTGAGGACTAGGAAACTTTCAGTTATCGTGTACTATCCATGCAAAGTCTAGGCTTGCAGTTGCAGCTGCTTCTATAGACGGTAAATAGCTCTCAATTGGGCGTTGATTAGTAGCCTCGAAGGTCTTGCTGCTTGTACTTACCTACTGGGGACCGGACGGGGTTGATGAGTGAAGGACCAAGTATCATGAAAATTGCCGTCTGCCAATTGATAGCATTACATACTATGTACCTATGTACCCTAGGGTACCTAGGTAGTAATAACTTATAACAACCGCAAAACACACACATACTTACACATACTCTCACACTAATTAGTTGACGCACCGGCGCCAGCACATGACAGAATACTAATATTGATTTCTCTACATATATACTTGAGTACTCTGTAGTAATATCACAGAACCTTGGTGCTAGTATTGAAAATGTTTCTGCAAACATCCAGGTCATCCATATTTACGGAACTGGTACGGTTCAAATACTATATATTTCTGGGTATCAAAAATTCAAGCCGAAATCCCAACGCCGTTGCAAACTGAATTACATTTCCTCTTCCTTACAACTTGTGCTGACAAAGTCAGTCAACCACCAATGAGATAATATACTGATAGTAGGGCACCACCTGGGTGCTCAAGGGAACCATGTATGATTGTCATCCGAAGCTGTGATCACGCTGTGCGACCCGTCACAGTCATCGGCAGAGAGCCATGCATGAAGAGCTTTCTCCCTTTCCTCGAAGCTGGTGAATATAGGTGTTCAAAGTCGAAGTTTCTAAATAACTGAAGATATGGTCAGCACAGCCGGCTTTCATATGTTCTTTCTAATGGTGCCTGTGACTTACTTCGACCATGACCTTGTTGAGCTCGATATAAGCAACGGTCTTTCCGGGGCAACCCCACCGTCCAGACCCGAAAACCAGTTCAGTCTGTCTGCGCATAAGTGCCCTTGCCTTCTCATCGGCCTCAAGCCATCGCTCGGGTCTGAACGCATCGGCATCCGCACCAAACACGGACGTCTCGTGAGTTACGGCCCAGGTGCTGTGCCCTATTCTCGTTCCGGCTGGCAGGAACTTGCCGTCGAACATGTCGCCCTCGGCGCCGACCTCCTTCATGATGAGGCCCCCGAATGGTGGGTGGACCCTCAAGCCTTCCCAGATGACGGCCTGCAGGTAGGGAAGCTTGTTGGCCTCTTCGTTGGTGACAGGTGATGAGATCTTTCCGTCGGAAATGGCTGCTTCAATCTCATTTCGGAGCCTGGAGGCGATCCTCGGGTTTGCTGCAATATGCGACACAGTCATTTTGATAGCATTGGCCGTAGTATCTGATCCTGCAACGATTGGGAACATGACTTCTGACTCTGCAGAGCGCCTGTCGAGGCCATGCCGAAGGAAGGAGCCCTGTGGGTGATGGTGATTAGTATGATATTTCTTCCTCATAAGTGTACCCAGAAGTGTAAGAGATGAAAGATACGTACGAGCAAGTCCTGTTGATCCTTGGCATCTGGCTGGAAGCGGGTTGCCACGAATTCTCGAGCCATACCCATGAGGTAGCCAACGCCCCAGCTGTCAGTGGGCTTGGGGCCGAACAGCTTTAGGATCGTGTCAGATAGAAAGAATCTCTGGAGCGGTGGGATATCTGTAAATATCTGGATATATTCCAGGGCCATCTTCACGATGGCAATGATACCTCGAACATCGTCGTTTTTCTGCAGAAGGCCCAGAGGTCTTCCAAATGCAAGCACGGCTTTGGAATCATGGGCATAGAAGTCCGCCAGTCTGCCAAAGTCGACAGGCTTGACCGTCTCATAAGTAAGATATTCGCGCCTGATCAGCTCGACCAGTGACTGGACCTGTGAGTTGATGCCGGCCTCGAGACCGGGGTTATCCTTGCCGGTATATCCTGCCGCGAGCTTAGACCTGATGGACATGTGCGCTGATTTGTCCATGACACTGCCCATCATGTCGTGATATGGGTCAATTTTTGTAGCTTTGTACCAACTACTACGTTCATAGGTAGACCGTACTGCTGACATCCGGCGAAGGTGGTCTGGGTTGGAGGCGAGCAGGTCATTGGGCCCAATCCTCACGAGAGGACCGTATTTTTGGGAGAGATCATAGTATTCGAAGTGTGAGCGTCCCGAACGTCGGATTCGAAACATGGGTATATAGGATATAGAGGCAAGTAGTGGTCCAGGGAATGCTGAGAGTCGATGCCATGACCTGAACCTGGTGACAGCTAGATAGGAGAGAATGAGGAATATCGCGAGAATGACCACGATAGTAAACTCTGAACCCCGGGTTGTTTGTTGGGCGTCCGCCGCAAATTTTGAGTACAAGACCTCGATAGTCATTGTGGCCACGGACACGTTCTGAAGTGATGAAAGAATGAATTGCTTGGTACTCAGTAGTGAATGGCTTCCAAACAACCAAGATACACTGGTATATATGATAATAATAAGGAATGATATAGGAATACTGTCTTCACTCGAAGCAAGTAAAATCCCATGAGTAGTTCCTCACTTATAGACGACGAGACTCGCAACCAGGGAGCTCTGGAGGCACCCACCTGTCCCACCAACATCGACATAGGGCTCACCTCCGGAGTCAGAGCGGGATGGTCCTCACTGCATCGCCTCATTCTGACTGTGTACGTAGGCAGGCCATCAGAAGAGGTGTGCCTGAGCAGTGCCACACGGGCCAGTCATTGCCTTGGAAGGAAGGATCCATCGGATACAACGGCCGCTCGCTTCTGCCCAGTTGATGCACCATCCGATATCGACCTTCGCCTGAGTCGGCGTCAATGTGGTTGAGTGGTTGCTGAGCCAGGTCACGATGCCCGGGACTATCACGACGCCCGAACTTGCAGCCAACACCTCGAGTTCTTGGTGTTGAGTGGCGTGAAGATGCATGGGGCCCCAATCCTTCAAGTACTGATTCGTTTGCAAGCCGCCCCCAAGAACGCCACCATGCTGGGGCTCCATTGCTGGCACATGTTATGGTCACTTCGGGTGATGTTCGTCAACGGGCCGGCCAAGACATTAACCATGGATCACCATGGTTCCAAGTCGTCGGGCCGCCGCCACAGGGGCGTTTCCGAGGTGGTACATACTAGAGTGATGCGAGATTATGCAAGGCGACTGTCACTACCAGGTAGCCGGAAACGAGAGGTCTGTCGATCGCTTGACTTGCAGGTGGAGCATGAGCCTCAGATTTGAAAATTATACGGAGGCTGACCATGATAAGACTTGAAAAAGTTGGAAAAAAAGGGGGTCTAGAAAAGAAGAATCTATTCCCGTGCCTGTTCAGCTATCGGACGTCCAGCCGCGGTTCCCTGCTTACAGGGCTAGCCGGCGTACAAGTCCACGGGTTCCTCGGTCGTAGCCGATGCAGATTCCTAGTCTCAGATCATCGAATTCCTCTTTGGGTATAGGCCGCGAGCCCTACGAGCTGGGGGAGGGCGGGTTTGAGCCCTGATTCGACATACTGCAACATACGCGGCTTGCTGTATTGAGTTTCAAGGCCCGAGTGACTCAAATGGGTGGGAATAAGGAAAAAAGGAGGGTTTCTGACCGGGCCGCTTAGGGCTGAATCTTCAGTCTAATAGAGCTGACATCAGAAGAAACAATGGCGAAGCAATGGACTAGTGACCACAATGATGCTATTTTAGCTGAGAATGAGTGCGTGGCTGCCTGCAAGCTCAGGATCGATCAGCGGAGTAAAGGACTGCATAGGCATGACACTCTTGCATCCTGATGATACCAGAATAAGCGCTGCACGCGGCGCCTGCGCGAGTTGGATTTTCGTTACGACGGGACCCATGTAGACTAATACAACATCGACCAATCGGAAGGGCATTACGCTCCCTCAAGTGATCGAAAGAGGTAGTGGACCCTAAGCGAGCCCATCCGACCGGACTAAACTAGGCCGCAATCACTTGCTCAGATGCAATGCCTCCTTAATCCTCTGCAACTTGGACGCGATCTGGCCTTTGGCAGCTTGACCACTAGTGCCACCTGTATTGTTACCCTTGGGAGCAGCTGGGTTCCGGTCGCCAGTAATAGCGTTACTCCCCTGGACCTGAAGCGGTATCATCAGTAGCCGAGCGAGTTGGAATCAAGTGGCACGTGTGTGTTGCTCGTTCACGACAGTGGTTGGTAACTTACCCTCTGCTCCTCGGCCTCGGCTTGCTCGACAATGTCATGGGCCTGAGTGGCTGCTTTGTCTGTGATGCCGCTCATGGTGAGATTTGATCGTGATATAAGCGGATAAACTACTTTGTTTTCAGAGACTATCAGACGAGATATTGGGTTTCAAGGTGCTGTAAGGTGCTGTAAGAGAATGACGAAGAAGTCCAGGAACTAGAGGATGGCCCCACAAATCTGGGGGCTGTTTCTTGTGGTATATTATATACCAAGTGTCTGGAACACCATCAACGATGGCGGAATTTGCTTCAGTCGTCATTATAGAACTGCTTATGGGCACGAGAATCACCCGGACGTCATCCGATGCACAGCAGAGGGGCTATGGCCAAAGAGCTTCGAGGGTAAGTACGCAACCATCATCACACCTCCGCATCCACCACCCCTCGAGAACTAGAGCTCCAATGACAAGTTGCGTAAGACCTGCATGCCCAGCCTGGGATGGTTCGGTCGTGCTTCTTGGGCAGACAGGTGTTGAGCTACACTTCAACCGTAATCGATTCTTGGTGCATATTGTACAAAAATATCCCGCTAATGGTGTACTGCTTGGAAAGAAGGCTGAGTCTACACGGCGAACTCCCCCGTGGAATTCAAATATAGGGGTAACAAGAAGAGGCTGCTAGTCTCATTACAGATGGTGGTAGGAATCTAGAGGGACAGCAGCAAGAAAGAAGTATATGATGGCGAAAGCATATTGAAGGAGAAAAAGGAAACAAAAATACAAATTGAGTGGGTCTGGCCGGGGATTGAACCCGCTGTGATGTTGTTAGAACCAATGTATATGCAGATCAATTCGAATGAGTAAATACTTACGGACCTCGCGCATTAAACTCAGGGTAATCCCTAAGCGCGAATCATACCACTAGACCACCAGACCTTAGACGGTTGAAAAGCCGAGTTTGGGCTGAATTATATCCCAAGATTCACATGACTCGGCCGTCCGACACTACATAGTAGGGCATTTGGCTCGATTTTCTAGAATGTCTAAGGCAGGCCTAGGATATGGCATATATTTTCACTTCGCAAGTCACCCGATCTGACATCCAACGTTGCATATCTTGTGGAGCACCTGCGACCTCTGCGTACTGTTTATGCATCACGCAGGTCCCTTCCCCGCGCTTCATGTGCATCACCAATGTTGGAGCCGGGGATATACCCGTGGAGTCGTCTTTATGTCTAATTGGTAGATGTACGAACGATGCCATCTAGAAACCTTACCTAGAAGAACATGGTTCCCTAACCCCGTGGCCATCAACCGTATGTGCCTTGGAAGTCAGGAGTCGACCTTCTCCATTACTTGGGCAGGTCTTGATCCGCAGGTGACGGGCATAGAATAGTACCACACCCGACGGCCTACATCCTAGAAGCTGAACAATGATTACGAGTAAAGCGCATCTTCAAGCCAATTGAGGCAACCCGTTATCGCCCCAGTTCACCGCAGAGAACAGCCATCGAGGTGACCAGGTAGCTGTGACAGAATTGTAGTAAGCCGCCAAGTGAAGGCAGCTCATGATTAGCGATTGTCGCTCGATACTTACTTAGTAAGGATGGCCGTGATTATTTACTAGTACAGAAATGACACACATTATCACACCATCAGTAGTGGCGTGCATTGGTTGCTTAGATGTAGGCCGGGGTTTGAAGGCTGCACTGTGAGCCATGCTGACCAGGGGCAAACGCTAGACAAATCAGAGCATTAGCCCTAGGTACAAAAGGTTGCGAGAAGTCAACAAGTATCCGAATACTTAAGACTCTGGAACCCTTGCTGCATCTACCCTTGCTGCTATGTATGCTTTCGACTGTGCTCGAGGATTCTGGGGAGGAAAGACGGGCTCCATAGCTGCCACGGTGGCGAAGGTGGCTATGAATTCCTGTCGTTCCCCACCTAGAACGGTGGTTTCCAGCCTCCAGATGCTTCTTTAGATGTTTAAGAAGCGTAGACCATCCAAGGTTGCCCAGGTGTGGACCAGTACTGCGTTCTCATACTCCGAATGAGGGCTCCCAGCGCTGACTTCCGGAGCCAATGGCGCAGTAAGCGTCGTCAACTACATATATACTCTTCTTTGTCGGCTAATCTCACAAAGTGCATCAGAATAAAAATCCTTTCGAATCCAAAAAGGGTACTTCAGATTTCTTGTAGTGGTAATTACCAAGCCAGGACTCAGCATCCAATGTTGGATATTGCGGCATCTACCATGGCCCCCTGAAATGAGCGTCGACAGAGCTACTTTAAGGGAAAGCAAATCTCATTGACGTTGTTATACTTATCGTGATCTATAGATATAGTCAATTCTCAGAACATGACACATTGCTAGGTCCTTGAGATATGTCAGGCGCTGCACTCTTCGTATCGTGATTCGATTCCGAACGCCTGGTATCGAATTGACACCATTCTACCCTAGGGTACTGAAACACTGTTTTTGAGAGGTGACGAAGCCACCACTGCGGTTTCGGTTCAGACATGGACGATGCCAGACATACCGGTAATCTCAACCCGCAACCGCACAGCATAGGGTACGCAGATCTTCAAAGTGGATGCAAAAGTGATCACTAATGCAGTTGCATTAGCTAGGCCTATATTCCCACAGATTTCACCCTAGATGAGCAATACACCAAAGGTTCGTACATACTCATTTCAAGTGGATTATTGACGCAAGCAGAGGATTTATCGAGCCACAATCCAACCTTACATTTCTTTTCTTATCAAACGTTTTTTAAGCCGAAATAGAGGCGGCTGCGCGTATTGCATTCTCAATCTTGATCGCAACTTGAGCAGTGGACGGGTTGGTGGTGACCTACTGGAAAGACACTCGTTCCAACCCTGAAAGATTCAGAGGATGAGCAAAACTTCAAACACAGAATTTGAAAGCAACGCGGGCTGTATTCTGGGCTGAGAGTATGTCTGACTGAAGACACTATGTACGCACGTTCAGCGCTAATTCGTTGGCGATTATATGAAGCGCAATTACCTAGGAGCAAGTGCATCATAACCCTCGCATGCAAAACGCCTCCAGGGCACCTACTAGTACGTTTTGGAGTCTGCTGTGGGATCATAAGTTCTACGGTGTAACAAGTTTCTAGAGTACCAGTGGGAAGCGTTGTCCAACGCAACACAAAGGGCGACATCCCGAAATATGCACTGGTTACACGCTTACTTTGCATTTGTTTGAACTGTTACTGACAAGCTCGTTCTGCCTGTGAGACGACAACGAACTGGTCTGTTGCCTCAAGTGCTGCGTACGCTGGTGGCTTCCACCTGTAATTGGACTCCGTGTACCATCCCATGGGATACAGTACAGCACCACAAAGTGTTTCCTGGCCGCTGAGGTCTTCACTTCGTCAACAACCTCAGCATAAGAAGGGGCCTTTACCTATAATTATGATCCTGATACCTCCCGAGGTCGTGGTAGGTCTCTAATCAGCAGTTACAAGGAGCGGCGCTACCAAGAGAAAGGCGCCGAACCGTTGATGGCGGAGCTCAATGGAACGCTTGTGAGGTCGGGGGGGGGGGGGCGGGGGCGGGGAGGAAGGTTGTCATATGACCAGCCCTGGAGCTTCTGGCATAAGACTTCCGACAATTCCCAAGGTTACCAGGGATTACACCCTGAATATAAAGGCAAGAAGCGAGGACGCCTTATAACTCGTGGCAGGGTATCTCACATAATACATGAAACCGCAACTCCACAGTCAAAATCTCAATGCATCAGAAAAGGTATTCGACCTACTCTGCTCAAGTGCTTGATCCATCATATGTGTACCTTGTAGAAGTGCCCAGGGGTTCAACCCCCCTGATCCCTTATCGTCTGGGTCATATGGCACACCATGACAGTCAGTATAAGTAGCCCTTCACCCCGCCTACTTTAGTTTCAGAAGATCAGGATGGTGTTGTCTTTATATATTGCGCAGACCTAAATCGTGATCACTTGTTCAAGAGTCCCTCCGTGGGAGCCTTTGGACAGCCTTTTACCCTCACGGTGGTCAGCGCCGTCTGACGAGTACCAGGTGGGCGGTTGGCATCTCTGCCACCTGTTCACTAGGTACGGGTAGTCAGCCAGTAATATTGCCAGAAAGCCGAACGATGGGATGGCCAAGTGCTGACAACTGGAGATAGTCAGGGACGTCCAGACCCTGTACACATCAAAAAATGCCTTGTGCGTTTAATGGATAGCATCTCACTCTGACTCAAGCGCCTACTGCGTATTGCAGGTTTTGTCAGCAATGCAACCTCAAAGCACTGCTGTATCCCAGGTTCCGGAGCTACCAGAAGTTGTTGTATGCTGACCATGGGGACCCTCGGGGATCCTTTGGAGAGGCCGCCTGCGCAAGTTTCCTTCATTGCGGAAGAGATCTCAAAAGGGCGAAAACGCAGGGAAGCCATGTCAGTTGTCAATAATCATTGATGATAGTGGGTAAAATGCCACCCACCACATGTGCAACAGAAGATGCTGTGATCGTCGCCAGGGGCTTCATCTCACTTCCATCTCCAGGGCTGCGAGGGTTAGGACCTGTGTCATACGTCGTATTTATACATTTTTGATAAGCAGCCCACTTCAGTGACACAATGCCATTTCCTAATTAGGTTAGAATGGTCATGCAGGCTTCAACTGTGTGTGTCAACTGGTCTGGAGGCTGAGCTCTGCGGGGCAGTTTTGACATCCGCCTTAGGCATTCTCACCTCTCCCACTCTCTCCGACTCTCTCATTTCAATCTGGCCTGGCCATCAACAGAGGCCGCCGATAGTTATCAGATCCCCGAATTTAGAAGAGTGGCCATTATGACTTGCGCATGATCTCGGTGATGCAGTTACGAAAGATTCGACACGGTTTCCGCTTCTCGCGACAAACGAGGTCAAAGAGCAGGAAGCAGAGGGAAGCTGAGGCTGCACGAGCGAGCACTATGGATACAAAGCCGACAGATGGACAGTCGGGACAATGCAAACTGTTTCTGTTTATCAATGACTTCACAGACTCCGACAATGAGGCCTCGGCTGAAGTTTGGGCATGGATATTGGAGCAGAACCCTCAGTACAAGGGCGCCTACGTTGCGGAACCTCGATGGGTCGACCTCGGCCATTACATGACGAGTGCAGACTTTGGTCGCTGTATCGGTATAGTCGGAAAGCTCGATCCACCGCTTGAGGATGGCGAGCCTCCCCTGACGACAGTGCTTGCCGGTCGCATGACCCAGGAGATCATCGATAGCAGACAAATCGAAGGCAGACCACTAAATGAAGTGGAAAGAAACTTGGTGAGCGGATTCTACCACAGACGTAGGATTATACCTTGGTGTTCGTTAGGCTCTAACCCGATCGACAGCTCATGCGCTGTATCAAGCCATACGTTCCTAATGAAACAAAGGAAGACTCGATCAAGCATGCGGAACTCGTTGCTATGGACTACATGACTACCATGAGAGCTCGATGTACACGCTTCGATGCTTATATCGATGTTCATTGTTTGGAGCGGCTCGAGATCCCTATCAACTTAAAGACTCACTACCATGATGAGCTTGTAGCTCGTACAGCGGAAGAGCTGGATAAATTTCGCGAAATCATGGAAACGGCACCCATTGTCGTTGACGAGGAGGAATCGCGGAGTAGGAGAACTAAGCTGCGCCATTGGTACGACGATGCACTCGACAGAAAGAAGAAAGAATTCGGTGGCGAGTCTCCCCTGAGAGAGTTGGATTACAACCACCTTAGGTCTGAGATCCGAAATCATGAGAAGACGATCGTTTTCGGAGGTGCATCCTTGACAGCACTGCAAGAGATACTCGACAAGGAACCTCAGCTGGGAGGAAAAATTCACTATTATCAGCAGGGTGGCACATTCAACCCTAAACTTAATATTCTGGGAAACCCATACAACTTTGCCCTCA